GCAAACACAGGCGAGAGCCCGAACCTGCCACTCTTTCGTGGCCCACACCCGGACCGCACTAAGAAACACGGGTCTAAATGAACAAACTGCCCAAAACACAGTTTACTCAACCCAACGCTAGATTCCAATGACATAGTAAACCAGAAACTAACCACAGAGGCTGAGTTCACACAACCACGCAGGACTAAAATGCGGCTGGCTTGTTGGTAACTTTAGCACGAAGTGTGAACCAACCAGGGCGATTCCCAGAGGAGACCAAGAGTTGTAGCGTGTTATGCACATTTTCACTGGGACTCAAATCCTTTGGGGCTTAGGGGGATTTATCCCCGGACAAGACACGGGGATTAGGTCGTGGGGTTCAGATGCAGCCAAGACCGGGAACAGCGCGACCCTCCTTGCAGCCACAGCGCTCCAGCCACAAACAAACGAAGCCCGACGACGCCTCCTTCGCCGCAGCAAAAAAAAAGACCGAGCCTGCGCGCGCACTAAGAAGAGAGGGACAGCCGGGAGCGGGGAAACGACGACCACGCCTCCCGGGCACGGCGTTTCATCCTATTGGTTCTAAGCTCCCCCGCCCACCATCGACTCGGCCCATAGTCTTCTCTTCGCCTGACCTATCGAGATGCACGTCTCACCGCAAGGGAGCCTATTGAGCCACGGACCACCGGGACGATCGATGATGTGCGCCCCCATTGGACAGAAGGAGAAATGCCGGTCTGCGATTGGCTGATGAGATTGGAGGACCTTCTTCTCGGATGCTTCCGTTCGACCACATGTGGCATGTGGAAGGATGAGCAATCCGCGCTCGCTGGAGGGTTTGAGTGTGAGTAGCGCTGATCTTGTGACAGAAGGGGGTGGACTGGGTATCCTCCGGCGCATTTTGGAAGTGGGGGGGAGGATGCATTCCTCCTAACCTCTTTGCCAAAGGCTCCAGTCGTCTTTGGTACCCTTTACCCACTACAGGCGACGCACGTTTTGTTACTTAACCTTCTCTGACCATCAGTTTTGGTCCAGCTCAATGACATGCATTTGGGCAGAAGCTCTGTGAAAGGCAGAACTTCGCTTAAAAAGGGGTAGGATGCAGGAATCTTATTGCTGATCAAGACAAAAAGCACAAAGGTCCATCGGCGTCCCTAAGTCCCATTTCCCGATGTATTGAAATGCATCTCCCATCAGTGCCACTGGCCCGGGATGATGAGAGCTGTAGGACGATGCACCGAAGGGCCCCTTGTTAGAGATGGATGCTGGAAGCATATTCTGCTTTTCTTGGAGCACAGTTAAAGTTATCATGTTACCAACATTTGTAGGGAACGTTTGAGCACTTAAAAGGTGTGCTGTATGTATTGTTTAGATGCAACTGAAAATACTTTTGATATGACAAGGAGAGTGGTTTGGGTAAAGATATTTAGTGAGTTTTCAGCAATGCAAGATTCCAGCTAGAGACATTCTGATTGCAACCAAGTCTCTTCAACTTGACTTTGCTGTGGCTTCAGCAAAGTCAAGCTGAAGAGACTTGGCTGCAATCAGAATGTCTCTTGATTTAGTTTCCCCAAAGTAAATTATTTTCAACTTGTCTGTTCATAGATAGATCTACAAAAATTACAAGCCTGCATTTTCATCTTCTCTTTTACATGGGCATTTAAAGCATTTTTAGACTAAAATTAAAAAGCAAAACTGAGTTTCTGTTTCTTAGCTTGACAGACTAAGATCTGTCAGTTAACAATTCTTCTTTAATTGAGGAGATGCCAGTGATTGAATCTGAAACACCAAATAAGCTGTGGGCGCTCTCTCACTCTTTCTCTAATTCTCTAAGCTTGCTTCTTTGGACTCACCTATGACCACTATGGGAATACCTGTTAACAAGCTTCTGTTGTCATGAGCAAGGCTTACACCTCCCTAGGCAACCTGGCTTATGATTGTCCAGTGAAGCAATAGAATAAAAATAAGACATCACCGCCACTGCCGCCCCCCCCCCCCCGTTCCCGCATACATTTCTAAAGTGCAGGTGACAATTGATCATGACTGGAGTTTGTGATTTTGAGCTTAGGACTTGGTAATATGTCAGAACGGACTGTTCTTCCTTTTAGAAGTGGGCTTCATAAGATGATTGAATTTGATGATGAAAATAAGGGCATCAAGCCTGCATCCTATGAAAGAATAGTATTGAAGAATGCTTCTGAATACCATTATCTGAAGATCCATTTGTAAGTTCAAATCCCTTTTTTAAAATATTCCCATTCCATTTCTGCTCGATTTTGTATAACCTATGGTGTTTGTGGTAGATGTTTACTAATAAACCTTATTGCAAAAATAAATTGTAGGGAGTTCGAAGAAGCTGACATTAGTTTGAATCCTGTTGAGTTCAAACAGCTTATCATCTCTGCTTTGAAACGGCTCCATGGTGAGGTATGTCATTTTTGTCTTAATTATTTTGAGGTAATAATTCTTGAATTCTTTTCAGCTTCTGATTTATTTATGTACAGAAGGAAATGGAAATGGAAGGCTGTAAAAGTGTTTGGTTTGATTGAAACCTCTGTATAAGGAAGCCTTATACTAGTTGTAGTTGTATACCATACTAAGCTAGAATTCAGTTTGTTATTAAGAACCTGTGTTCTTTGCACATTGGCCTCTGATATTAGTTCATATCCTTTAAAAGAAGAGTTAGCGATAGTTAACAGTTAACTCTGGCACTGTCTCTTCCCTGCTACATAATAACTTCCCTGCTAAAATCTAGCACCAAATGACAGCAATGTTTTGTTATTTGGGGAAAAATAATAAGGGAAGAGAGGTATGTCAAACTTTGATAGGCCATGTATCTGTTTTAGTGAAAACACATTCCGGCCACCAAAAATTTAAAAAGAGGGACAGAATTCAGTTTCTGCCTCTCCAGTGATATTGCAACACTGCCATTTCCCCTGCTATCATTTGTAGCTAAACAGATAAACAACCCTTCCCCAAAACCTATTTATGGTTTTCGGCTGCAAAAGTTATCTGACCACGTTTCAAATGAGGTGGGATCAGGGGATGCCTCTGATTAGAAATTCCAGCTGTTTCTTCCAGATATAAGGGGCCTTGATGATTAAACTGTTTTCAAGAAAAGTAGATTAAAGGAGGAATGAAAATGATGCAAACATATATTCAACAAGATCTCACATTTTGTGCATTATTCTCCCTTATATCCTACAAGTTTGGACTTGTAAAAAATTGCAGGTCCTTCTTCATTAAGCTTACCCTAAGTACCAGGTTTGTAATTACATCAAATTAAACTAAAAGGTGGTGGCGGTGTAGAATTGAACTTCTTACGAGGGATTTCTTAATGTCTTCGATAGAGACTTTAAAGTGCTCCCTAGTAACAGTGGCATGTTTCGTTTTAGGTTGGTGCTGCATTGCCTGTTGATGTTTTGACATATGAGGAAAAAACATTGACTGCCATACTTAGAGTATCTAACGCGTAAGACATTTTGAATATGTTTTCTTGGCAAGCATTGTTAGCTAAAGGAAGGCTCTCTAGCATATAGTAATAATAAAAATGAAGAGAATTCTATTTAGGTTCAAGCAAGATGTCATAGGTCTTGTTAGTTTTCAGTAGTGTTTTTCAAACTTGGCAACTTTAGGATGTGTGGACTTCAACTTCCATGCTGGCTGGGGAATTCTGGGAGTTGAAGTCCACATAACTTAAAGTTGCCTAGTCAGAAAAACACTGGTTTATAGGATGGGGGCACAACTACATGTGGCCCACTGAGAGGATAGTGTCATCCAGTACAGCAGTCTCCACACCTCTCTGCCAGAGGAGTAGGCTTGGTTTCTCACTCCCATACTGCTCAATTTATTTAAACCTCTGAATCAAATGAAATGTGCGGAGATGGGGAATCACTGCTTTTATTGATTAAAATCTGTTAAACAATTAATAAATGTAATCATATTTTTTGTCCGCCACCCACTTATGAAATTGTTTTATAAGTCCCTGCCCCATTTTGCAGTGCAGCCCCCAACATGCTGTTGAAAAGTTCATGTGGCCCTTGGCCCAACCAAAGTTTTGCAGCCTTGGTGTGTAGCCTTGTTAACAGTTAGATATAGGAGCACTCAGCCTTCAAGGTTGAATTGAGAAAAATTGAATTGAAAAAAATTGAAAACAATCTGCAAGCACTAAGCCTGCATTTGCCAACAAAAATAAATGTTCATGTCCTATGAAATAGCTAGACTTATGACAACCAGTTGTTAAAGATTTTTGTACCTTTGGAGAAAATGAGTTCTATAATACATTAAATGCAGTTCTTTTATCAGGAAGGTATCAGCTTTTGACCTCAGAAAAAACATAAAATGTTTGTTGGGGAATTTCAGCCTCAAGCTTATGCGGATCTAACTTCTGGATGGATATGGTTTTAAGCGCATTGAACCTTGATTTATTTATCATGTAATATTTATGGCTTACTTTACTTGCCTATTGATTAGTAATTTTCATTAATGTATCCAATGCTATCATTTATACAGTGGCCTAGTAAAGCTGTGGAGTGCTGTAACGTTGCTTGGTTCATACCAGAACAGAAAGTGTGCCTTTAGGGTGATACAGGTAAGAATTGAGAAACTAGCCCAGATTGTTAGGTTTATTGGCATTCATTGCCTCCACTACAAATGGACAATCAGTTGAAGCCCATATTTGTTCAATAAAACACATTATTGCTCTGGAACTTTCAGATGTTATATTGAAGACGGGCAATGCATAGGCTACATCTTCTTTCCTGTCCTTTCCTGCCCTGTGTTTTCCTTAAAGTATTATAGTTGATATTCATTGTGTGTGGGTGTATGTGGGTTGTTCTGTGTTTTATTGCTTTGTATTTTTTTCAGTAACTTTTTAACCTGGTCAGAGAACTCATTATTGTGTGGATAAGAAATATGATAAATACAGTGGGGCAAAAAAGTATTTAGTCAGCCACCAATTGTGCAAGTTCTCCCACTTAAAAAGATGAGAGGCCTGTAATTTTCATCATAGGTATACCTCAACTATGAGAGACAAAATGGGGGGGAAAATCCAGAAAATCACATTGTCTGATTTTTAAAGAATTTATTCAAATACTTATTTTCCACCATGATTTGCAAATAAATTCTTTAAAAATCAGACAATGTGATTTTCTGGATTTTCCCCCCCATTTTGTCTCTCATAGTTGAGGTATACCTATGATGAAAATTACAGGCCTCTCATCTTTTTAAGTGGGAGAACAAATACTTATTTTCCACCATGATTTGCAAATAAATTCTTTAAAAATCAGACAATGTGATTTTCTGGATTTTCCCCCCCATTTTGTCTCTCATAGTTGAGGTATACCTATGATGAAAATTACAGGCCTCTCATCTTTTTAAGTGGGAGAACAAATACTTATTTTCCACCATGATTTGCAAATAAATTCTTTAAAAATCAGACAATGTGATTTTCTGGATTTTCCCCCCCATTTTGTCTCTCATAGTTGAGGTATACCTATGATGAAAATTACAGGCCTCTCATCTTTTTAAGTGGGAGAACAAATACTTATTTTCCACCATGATTTGCAAATAAATTCTTTAAAAATCAGACAATGTGATTTTCTGGATTTTCCCCCCCATTTTGTCTCTCATAGTTGAGGTATACCTATGATGAAAATTACAGGCCTCTCATCTTTTTAAGTGGGAGAACAAATACTTATTTTCCACCATGATTTGCAAATAAATTCTTTAAAAATCAGACAATGTGATTTTCTGGATTTTCCCCCCCATTTTGTCTCTCATAGTTGAGGTATACCTATGATGAAAATTACAGGCCTCTCATCTTTTTAAATGGGAGAACTTGCACAATTGGTGGCTGACTAAATACTTTTTTGCCCCACTGTAATATGTTTTTCTAAGAGTGTGTTTAGTTTTCTGCCTGCTGTTTTACTGTTTGATTGCTTTATTTATTTATTGGGAGAATAATTTCATTGCAGTTTATTCTTTCTTTAAACACAAATAACCTGTTGCTATTAGTAACTTACATTGCTTGAAATGCAACTGTTGCTGATGGCATCATTTCCTCTCCTCTCTTTCTGCTTGAATTGCTTGAGTTCAGCCACTTAACCACCTTCTTCTAGGCTTGCAGTTATTAAATTTGGTCTCCAAGGAAATTAATCAACTGCCATTTATTTGCTTGAAGTTGCCTGAATGTTGTTTTATGCAAAAGGAATTGATTTTGTGTTTCCACTTAAAAATGTTTTTTTTTTTTCCTTTCTCTTTAGACTTCTCCATTTCTTCTTGCATTAGCTGGGAACAGCAGAGAAATGGTGCTAGATTAAGTATTCAGTTGATTATGGTTTATGTAACACCAAAATGCTGATAGTATTGCCCAGGTGCAGATTTTTTAGTGCGAGACTCTGGAAAATATTCTCAACAAAGCCAAGCACGTCCATGTTATTCTTCACTCAGCACCATGTGCAGCTTTTACACATAAAAGTTGGAGACAAAGCTGAAATAATTAAGACGTTTACATCAAAGGATATTTTTATCTTTTCTGAATTAACGGGGGACACAAACCCGTTACATTTGGATGAAGAATATGCCAAGAGATCAAGGTTTGGGAGAATAGTTGTACATGGTGTTCTAATCAATGGACTTATTTCAGCTGTCCTGGGAACGAAAATGCCTGGGCCTGGGTGTATCTTCCTTTCTCAGGAAATTAATTTTCCATCTCCTTTATATGTTGGAGAAGAGGTCTTGGCTTCAGCAGAAGTGAAGAAACTGAAGAGATTTCTTGCTTATATTGCAGTGTCATGTACAGTTGCCCAAAGTGGCAAAATTGTCATGGAGGGTATTGTTAAAGTTGTGGTGCCTGAAGATCAGAAATCTGAGCCCTGATTGCATGATGTATCCTATTGGTAGCAGAGGTTATAATAGGATGTAATTTTAATTGTAATCAACTAATTATCTATGAGGAATTTGAAAGAGTTTAATTTTGATGTTGGTCTCTGATTTAAAAGATTGGTTTGCCTTTTATCGATGTGATGGTTGTTGGTGAGATAGAATGAGAGCTTCGCAAGAATGCTGAGGTAGAAATTAAAATCAGCATCCAAAATGGCTTGAATTGTTTAACTTGGGCTTATGTACTGGACAAATTTCAGGATTCTCACATTGGGTTTGACCAGTGACTCCACTAGTTCTGCATTCTGTCAATAAATAATAAATAAATAATAAATAAATAATAAATAAATAATAAATAATAGCCAGCCAGGTGACAGTTTTATAGCTTAGGCAGCTGGTGCAATCCATCCTCTGATCATCTGAACTAGAACTACATTGTAGATCTATCCTCTTTGTTCAGTATTTTATTTCCTCCCACATAAGTCATTTATATAAATGTGTTTGATATACTATATGTACAAAGTATAAACTGACAAATAAGATTAAGAACTTAATGTTCCTCAATTCTCTTCCTGAAAAATCAGTACAAGTCTGGTATTCTCCCTACACAAAGTAATGTTTGGTTTCTCTGGAATATCCTTATCCTCAACAACAGCCTTTTTATCTCTCTTCTCTATTAACCTTCCTAAGTGATGGTAAAGAAATGTGTACTGTTGTTCTTAACGACCTTGGCAATTTTATGTTATATGTACACTACATTTGATTGTACTGGGGCCACTGATTGTAATCCTTCCACAATGCATCTTGGTGGGAAAAAACCTTAAGAATAAGCCAAAGCAATTGGAGAAGTCCAAACCAGTTTTCTTTATTAAGCTGTAAAAGTTACAGTGATCACTGGGCTCCCAGCCAGCAAGATCTAAGTGTGCAGAGACTGATCAGAGCAGATCCTATACAGAGTTCACAGAGAATCAAAGGGACATGAGCACAGTTTGATCTTGTCACAGGAATAGTTGACAACTGATAAGAGATGCAGATGGGGTCCTCTGGCATCTTCCTGTCTGGTGTAAGAACATCCTGTATTGCTAGGGCATTTAGCTTAAAAATAACATAGATACCACGCTGATTGCCATTTCTTGTTTTAAGAATTTGATCCTTATCACACCTGGACAGAAGAAACAGTAAGGACATTCTTAATACTATCCTTGAGAGTACAGTTATAAAGACACCCAGTTTCCATATCAAAGCCATTTTTGATTCATGGAGAACATGTGCCTAAGGGAGTCAATTTGAGATATATAGAAAAAGTTGCAACAGTTAAGTTTATTGTGGCTGACCTTGTATCAACAGAGACAGAAGACAGAAAAGTAATAATAAGAGGCTGAACTTTGGTGTTGGAGAAGACTCCTGAGAATACAGTGGACAGCCAAGAAAACAAAGCAATGGATTGTTGAACAGATCAACCCAGAGTTCTCACTTTAGGTACAAATGACTAAGCTCAAATCATCCTAATTCCGACACATTATGTGAAGACCCAGCTCTCTGGAGAAGGCTCTCATGCTGGGAAAGGTGGAAGGAAAGAAAAGAAGAGGGTGACCAGCAGCAAGGTGGATGGACGGTTACAGTGGTGCACCATTGGAAAACCTGAAGGACCAGATCATCATGGAGAAAATCTATCTAGGTGGTCACTAAGAGTAGACAACAATTTGAAGTTCATAATCAATAATCAATACACAAGAGCCAGTTTGGTGTAGTGATTAAGGCACCAGACTAGAAACCAGGAGACTGTGACTCCTAGTCCTGCCTTGGGCACAAAGCCAGGTAGGTCACTTTGGGCCAGTCACTCTCAGCCTTAGGAAGAAGGAAGCAATGGCAAACCACTTCTGAAAATCCTGCCAAGAAACTGCAGGGACTAGTACTGGCAGTTGCGAGGAGTCAACACTAACTCAAAGGCGTGCACATGCTTTTGAATTAATACTAATAAATGTATAGAAATGTAAGGTTACTTATATGCATATTGGGAACTAATGTCACATACATTTTGATGGGGTCTGAGCAGTTTATAATTAGGAAAAAAAAATACTGGGGTCATTATGGACAGCACAAAGTAGGTATCACAAAATGCCAATTCAGTATGTGGTAGCTATGAAAAAAAGCAAATTCCATGCATCATTAGGCAAGGAATTGAAAATAAAAATGCCAAGATTGTAATATCTTATACAAATCTATGGTATGTAATACATCTGGTTTGTGTACAATGTTAGTTACATGCTTGAAAAAGATTGTAAAAGCTGGAAAAAGTGCCAAACAGGGCAGCTAAAATAATCATGGGGCTTGAACACAAAAACACTAGAATGTTTTGGGCTCTTTAGCTTAGAAAAAGGGAGATGGGACATGACTGAAGTGTATAAAATCATGCATGGCATGGAGATGGTAGAGAAGGAAAACATTTCTCAAAATACTAGCAGTAAGAGCCAGCCAGTGAAGCCAATGAAGCAGTCAAGGAGATTTAAAACAAAAGGCAGTAATTCTTCACCCAGCACATAGCTAACCTGTGGAATGCATTACTGTGTTGTAATGACCGTGACCTAGATAGCTTTTAAAAAGTACAGATAAATTAATGGAGAACAAATCTATCAAGTCTATTCTCAAAGATTCAATGCTGCCTTCCAGTTGGGGGCAGCACGTCTCCAAATACCAATTGCAAGGGAATTATTGTAGGCCAGGCCTATGTCTTTTTCTCCTGCTTGTAGTATCTGTTGGTTACTGAGCAAAGCCAAATGCTGGATTAATACACCTGATACACCACATCTGTTCTTAGGTTAGCAAAGAGTAGATTTCAGGCTTGCAGCATGAAGAACCTTGAGGTCCACTGTTGAAGCCTGATGCATGAAGGTGGCTCAGGGAGGGAAGCTGGCTCTCTTGGGAGGGGGATAATATAGAGCAGGGTTCCTCAACCTTGGCAACTTTTAAGACAGGTGGACTTCAACTTCCAGAATTCCCCAGCCAGCCTTGCTGGATGGGGAATTCTGGGAGTTGAAGTCCACCCATCTTCAGGTTGCCAAGGTTGAGGAACCCTGATATAGACCACTTTCCCCCTTTTTTTTTTTGCACAATGGCCAAGAAGACAACAGCACAGAGTGCAACAATTGCATAGGTTTATTGAATGAATGTAATTGTGCTTTTAGTACATTTCTCAATTCCAGCACAACTAACTAGAGGTACACATTGCTGATCAACATGATTTTCCCAACTAACCTAAAGCAGAGAGGTTATCTAAATTCCTAATCGGTTACTAAAAGTTGTCTTGTAAATCCTTGATTCTAGAAAGCACGCTACAGAATGAGAAGCTTTTAACACTTCTCTCTCTCACAGTCACATAGCTGTGGTCATACATACACAGAGTTCCCTTTTGTCTCCTATTTTATAACCTATAAGTGTTGGACTCTGACCAGCTGGTTTTCAGCAATCTTATCATGGAACATTGTTACAATTAAAAACAAGTCAGGTAGTGGTCTAACTTGGGTATGCTTGATCACAGATGCTCACATGCTGACTCTTGGTACTATTATTCATCTGTAATACTTTGAAGGTCTCATGGCATATTGTAATATTAAGTCCCTCCTAGCGTGCTGCTGTTTCCATGCACCTGTGCAATCAGATGGAGTGTGTGTACTTCCTTAGACTGAATATTCATAATGTTCATTATGGTCAATATCCATCATGATTATTAGAAAAGGTTACATTGTTTCTCTCTGGTTTAACTAGCCCCTGGTTTCTCTATGTCCAAAGCACCTTTCCAACAGCATCTATCATGAACTTCATAAGCCATTTCCTGAAATGCCATAGGAAATCAACCAGTGCAATGTAGACTTCAAAACAGCTACTGTTAAGTATTCAGGAACTGCTGATCTATGAATTACCCAGGAATTACAACCAAGCCCTCATCTGCCATTGATCCATTTAGATGGGTGAATTTTCTTCAGTTTTTGAACCAAATGGTTAACGCCAGATGAGGCTCAAGAGTTATCTAAGTATTGAAAAGGGATTTTGTATTTATTTCAAAATGTTCAGAATGATACTGAGGTCCATAGGATACTCAGGCACATCCTGCTCCCTATTTCCTTTGCAGTGATTAAATCATCAATAACCATCCTGGCCTATCATTTTTATTAAACTCAAAAATCCTATACTAGCAATGAGAGCAGATCTACATATCTCCTAGTGCCTGGGCTCTGAATAGTATACTCCAGCAGTTCTCGCTCACCAGCTCACAATATAATGCTTACTAATTCCATCAATAGAGTCTAATTTATATTTTCCTGGTCATATAATTATTTCTCTCCCAAGCTAGTGATAATTAAAGTTTGTTTTTTAAAGAGTTTTTATAACCTGCCCAATTATAACAGCAATAGGCATTAATCAAACTATAAAAAGCAGCAGCCAAAAAATTCAAGCAGAAACAAATCAACTCAATCCTCCACCAAAATACAATCAGTCCTACAAACTAGGTTTGAAGAACTGATGAAAGCCACCTTTAAGGATTTAAAGATCATGGTATACTCCTTTTCATTAAGAATATCACAGTGATTTATATAAAGGTCATAAACAGAATAAGAAAGAACAGTAAAAACAGAATTGTTCTTGGAAAAAGTTAATATAATTGTAAGGGTGGCTGAGGAAAGGAAGACCATTTCTAATTTTCATAGTCTGGGCCCCCCATAGAAGTTTGTTTCATAAGGTGACAACACTCCAGACAAGGAGCAACAGCAGGATATCATCTCTAGAATATAAAGATAAGCCAATTCAGAAGTCAGTAATTCCACAGATGTTCTGCATCTGAGCAGTCTAGGGTCTTAAAAGTGCCTCAGTAGCTGATTGGCAACCTGTGCTGAGCCTTAAGCACAGGTGTTACTCACTTTTGGTAAAGGACTCCACTGAGTAACTAGCCAATGTAAAGGGTTCTAGCTACGGATACCGATCTGCCTTACGGAGCATGCTAATATTCATCTGGTATTGAAGATAACAATACACGGACTACTATGGCAAAGCTTTTTCTCCATTATTGTGGAGAAGCTGATCGAGAATGCTCTTGGCTAATGAGGTTGCTTGGGTCTTGGTACAGACAGCAAGACTTAGACATCCTTATTCCCAGTGAATTGATTCAACTGATACCACTTGAGTCATTTCCCTTGGCTGTTTCCTACACTGGGAGCAGTT